AGCGGATCTCTGCCGATCGGGAAGCTCGCAGGCATCACATACTCTGACAAAGACTGATTCCACCATCTCCAATCCTCCCGGTATGGAAACAGCCCGGAATGCTCACGCAGCGAGATCGATGCAGTGCAATACTAGCGAAAGGTTGCATTCAGCCCAACGAGTACCTGGAAACTCGGCCATGATGGATTGCGTTACATCGCTGCATACCATCGCTGTGTCGAAAGAAGACACAGAGTATGATGGTGATACTATCCCAGAGGCCCAATTTTCCACGCAGGCAGCTGTTTTGCTCGCTCAGAGATCTTTCCAGAAGGACTTGGGAAGCCCGGAACCCGAGCTTCCTTTGCACCGAACTCCTAGCCTCAATACATCTCCCGCAAACGAAATCACACCGTTCTACCAAGTGAATACTCCCGGCAACGGGGAGATCACAAATAATCCAACAAGACCTCCAGCTACCGGATTGCCAGTGACGAGCACGCAATGCATCATCGATGCAGTCACTCCTTTTACATTTAGTACAGAGAAGAAGAAGAGTAACCACCGTGTTCTTTCATCGACAAAGCGTCGTTCAGGGAGAAGGAAATCAGAGGATGTCAATCTTGCTACTCGCATAGCGCCGTCCACGCACTCATCGCCATCACCGAGCGTGAGGGATCACTCAGAGCTTAGGAATTCAGATGCCGAGAGGAACACAGACGATGCCTCCAGGCCCGAGATGTCTATGCTGCGTGATTTCCAACCTCAGAGCCAGAATAGTGCCTTGCCAATGACGTTGACAGGAACGACACCGCCCACCGCCCAGGACGGACAAGGGGTAATCGCAGGTGCAGATAGCTTTAGCCTCAGTCAAGCCATTGCAGATGCAGGAAGCTGGTTGCAACAGAGCTTTGAGATCAACCGAGATCTTCAACAGTGTAGTAGCGCGCGCCCTCCTTTGCCTGCAGACCATCGAGCTCTACTTTGAGCGTCGATGCAAACAATTGACGGGCGTGCCCCGCTATTGTTAATTACCAGAGCTTCGCGGTGTTCCTTCTGGGAAAATGTCGGCCGTACATATAGATATATTTTGCCATATTTAGCGACATATATGATTTGTACATTGCCTTTAGCTGACAGCTTTAAGCATAAAATATTGGTCAATTAATGTAAAAACATCTATCAGTAATGATGCTGAAATGTAACAATTCTGAGCAAGATAAACAAGCATTCATTTAATCATTTTCGTATCAGAGTAAATGAGCAGAATTGTCAACGACTGAGAAGGGGAAAGATGACGTTGGGTTGAGCTGCGGTCTGCGGGATAAGGTACTAGCGCGGCACAGCTCCGCGATCGCGGCTTGTGGACGGGTATCGAGATACAGCATGATCAACCATCCTCCACTCCCTTTGCTTACCGTATCCCGTTGATGGCGCGGACTTGACTTCGTTCAAATGGCTCTGACATCAGTATGCTCATCTAATCACTGAAACGAAACTCTCAAAAAGTACTGACTCGTTCTTGTCAGTGGAAAGCGTTCAACTTCTTTGACGTCTCCTCGGTCAAACTTCCAGAAGACTGCTCGTCAATATTAAAAGTACACGATTGGCTCCTTCTAAATCGTCCGTCTGTTCGCAGTTTGAATTCTAACAATATCCGATTCTGCATAGTCCGATCTCACCTCTCTCAGCGCCGGCTCCTCTAATCTCTTCATCGCATCTACCGATGGCGTGGTACACATCGTCTCCGCCGGATTCAAGATCGTGCGATCTTTCAAGGCAGCGGACAATGGCTCCATTACGCATATTAAACAGATAGAGGGCACGTCACTGCTTATAACCATTGCGGAAGACCTCCCCAACGAGCCCGTGCTGAAAGTGTGGGCGCTCGACAAACCTGAGAAGAAAACCGGAGACCCGCGTTGCTTGTCTACAACATCGATACAGAATGCGCGGAGGCCGTTTCCTGTTTGTTGTCCCTAGGTTGGCGTACGACTCAGATAACTGATCATTGGGCGAGGTATAGATATCTGCCTTCGCGGCTCTGGAAGATTTGTCGCAAGTAGCAGTGGGATTTGGCAACGGATCGGTCACAGTCATTCGCGGCGACTTGATCCATGACCGTGGTGCACGACAACGCATTGTCTTCGAGTCAGAGGAGCCGATTACTGGGCTCGAGATACAAAGCGGGGCGTTATCGGTACTCTTTATCTCGACAACGAGTCGAATATTGACCTTGGTCATCTCCGGCAGAGGACAAGGTCAACCGGCGCGTGTATTGGATGACTCTGGCTGCGGCGTTGGCTGCATGGCGCTTGACAAAGACACCGGAGATATTGTTGTTGCTAGGGAGGACGCAATATACACCTATGGACCGCATGGACGTGGCCCGAGCTATGCATTTGACAGCCCGAAGAACTCGATCAACGTATTCAGAGACTATGTGGCCTTGGTATGTCCGCCAAGGGCTACTTTGGGAAACCTCCGCAGCCAGACCGAGGAGATCTTCAACACAACGACCTTCACCCTGCTTGATACGGATCTCAAGTTTATAGCTCATTCAGAATCTCTGGCAGCGTCTGTCAAGCATGTTTTCATAGGATGGGGCGACTTGTTCCTCCTTTCGACAGATGGGAAGGTACAATCCAATGATGAGAATGAGTATTGCTAGAGCTAATAGACGGGCAGGTGTACCGTTACCGAGAAAAGAGCCTCCAGCAGAAGCTGGAGCTACTCTACCAACGCAATCTTTACATACTGGCCATCAATCTCGCGCAGAAAAAAGGCATTGACACTCTACAGCAGAATGCCATCTATCGCAAGTATGGCGACTTCCTCTACCAGAAAGGCGATTACGACACGGCCATGCAGCAATACTTACGGGCTATCGACAATACTGAACCATCGCAGGTTATACGGAAGGTATCACTGCCTGCACTTGGTTGATAAGCTTATATCTGACTGAATTGACCGCAGTACCTTGATACGCAGCGTATCCATAACCTGATTGAGTATCTTGAAGAACTTCACGATCACGACCGAGCTACCGTTGATCACACTACGCTCCTTCTGAACTGTTATGCGAAGCTCAAGGATACGGACAAGCTAAATTCCTTTATCAAAGCTCCAGGAGAGCTCAAGTTTGACCTGGAGACGGCCATCGCTATGTGCCGACAAGGAGGTTATTATGAGCAGGCAGCCTATTTGGCTACAAAATACGGTGAAAATGACATGGTCATCGATATCCTAATTGAGGATTCGAAGAAGTACGCTGAAGCTGTGGAATACATCTGGAGGCTTGAGCCGGACTTGGTTCGTAATGGCAGTCGTACCCTTGTGATTTTCCAGGGCTAACCCATAAAGGCTTACCACAACCTAATGAAATATGCCCGGGTACTACTGGCAAATTGCCCTCAAGAGACTACGGAACTCTTCATGGCGTACTATAAGGGCCAGTATCACCCAAGAACAGAGGTGGAGGTCCCAGCCGCACCTCAGACACAACCAACCAGTACTTTGCAAAGCTTGGCTGGTTTCCTTCCTTTATCTCTGATTAATGCGGGTTCCGGAGCGAAAGCTGAAAAGCCGAAGGATATTCTTGACGAGGAGACGAAAACCGCAGAACCGACTCCAAGCTATGAAATTCCGAGACCAAGGACAGCTTTCTCGGCTTTTGTGGGCCATCCGAAAGAATTCATTGCTTTCCTGGAGTCGCTGATCGGCCTGGAAATCCTGAAGGAGGAGGACAGAGTTGACATTTACACAACACTCTTTGAGATGTACTTGGATACAGCAAATCGCAAGAAGGGTTCTGCCGAAAAGGAAGAGTGGGAAAACAAAGCCAAAACTCTCATCGAAGGTAAAGACGTAAGTGCTCTTGCTCCACTTGTAGTTTCGTCTCTCATTGGCTCCTAGATTCCGATCTCGACTTCAAACGTCCTTCTCTTATCAGATCTGTCTAATTTCCGAGAGGGATCAACTCTCGTACGTGAGCAAGAAGGGCTTCGGTCTGACATCTTCCGGTCTTTTACCTCGGCAAAGGACACCCACGGAGCTATTAGAGCTCTGCGGAAGTATGGACCGGAAGAGCCTCAGCTATATGTGGACGCTCTGACATACTTCGCCTCAAGTCCGGCCATCCTTGAGGAAGCCGGCGAAGAACTCGACGTAGTACTCAAAAGAATCCACGATGACGGATTGATGTCGCCATTACAAGTAATACAAGCATTGAGCAACAACTCTGTGGTTACCATGGGCCGAGTCAAGAAGTATCTCAGCGACAACATAGAGCGCGAGCGGAAAGAGATTTCTACTGTACGTTGCTTTCTGTCGATCTTCTACCTAGTTTGAGCTAATATATGGCCTAGAATCGCCGCTTGATATCGAGCTACAGCTCGGAAACAGAGAAGAAAAGGCAAGAAATCGAGCAACTGGGCACTAAACCCGTCGTTTTTCAGGCCCGTCGGTGCATGTCGTGCGGTGGAGCTCTGGACCTTCCTACTGTGCACTTCCTCTGCAAGCACTCATTTCATCAACGTTGCCTCAATAAGGTGGATGAAGATGCAGAATGCCCAATGTGTGCGCAAGAAACCTCCACCATCAAAGCTATCAGGAGGAGACAAGTGGAGTCAGCAGATCAGCATGATCTCTTCAAGGGAGAACTTCAACGAGCAAAAGATCGATTCGGCGTGGTTAGTGAGTTCTTCGGTCGGGGTGTGATGCGGCCGCAGAGTACCATGGAATCATGATACTTGCTTGAGCTTATGATGATTTCGACGCCGATTCCAGTTGATACCAATACATGCTGTTTTTTGATACCTTCATGCCTTGTTGCCTTAATGCCTAGCAGTAGAATTGCCTTATCTATGTCTTATCTGCACGTGTTTGCGCGTCGTTCCGTTCCACGATTCCGCCCACTTGACGCGTGAGATAACGAACAACGCAGACTGATAAGCGGAATTTCTCCTGTTAACGATTGTCGCCCAGTATCTCTACACGTGTATATACATATCTTTCACAAAATGTCCTTTGATAGAGTAATTCAAGACTCTGACGATGAGGACGATCCTTTGTCGGAGATGCCGCCCCCAGTCAAGCGCGCCACGGAGCAACCAAAGAATCATATTGATAATATCACCACTTGCAATGAGCAATCTGGAATTGCAACACCAGGCCGAGAAGCGCACGATATAGATCATGGAAATCAGCTTGCTGTTGACTTCGATGCATTCATACAGTCTCAGGAAACGGCGCCAAATAGCTTCTCTGCCTCTCAGCAACGGAGGGAGGAGAGGTGGATTCCCTCTGACGCTGGGGCGGGGTCAATTGGTGAGTCTTAAACGTCAATATCATGAGGGTCCTCGTGAAAGCACTGGTGACTAATGGTCGTGATCAATTAATGCAGGTTCAGTAATGACGTTAATTGGACTTGCGCAGCAACGACTTTTCGACGACGATGATGCTCAACATGCAGTTATCCGCGAGCTCCAGACAGCTGCTTGCGGCAACCAGCCGGACAATGGCCCAGCGACTGACGGGTCTCCAGTTCTTCTGAACATGGCAGTGTTGAATTACGATGATTACAATCAACACGAGGAGGGTCCTGGTGCTGTGCAGCCTAATGCATTCGTTACTCCCACATCGCAAGACATGGCGCTCCTCAATGGCAAAAACCACGGCCACGGTTACTCCAACAATGACATTACCGGATTTTACGGCGATCATATACGACATGTCGGGCCGCAGAATGGTTTGTCAACTCATGACTTGGCACAATCCTCAACGTCATACAATTTCTTTGAATCATCCCTGAATCCACCAGCGCAATTGAATGACGATCTTCAGAGCCACCTGAGATCCAGCGACACAGTGCAGACGGAAGCCGTTCATAAAACCCCTGGAAGGTCTCATTCCATGCAAGCCACCTCTTACTCTCCCCACGACACCGAGCCAATCTCGTCACTAGTGACGCCGAAAGTCAGTAGAGCCCAAAGCGACAGCACTTGCCGATATGCTCCATCACAGTCGCCAAGAAGCGCATGCGATGAGCTCGCAGCCCCTGTTGCAATTGAGATACCGGTGGTGAAAAAGAAGCGCGGACGCAAGAGAAAGCAAGACATGCCAGAAGATGACGAAGATGATGAGCTTGCTCTCTCAAATGATCAAGGCATTTCTGAGAATGGCGAACCAGTCAAGAGAAAGCCTGGTCGGCCCCCGAAGATTGTAGGGACGTTGAACGAAACTGACGACGCCGGGCTGGCCAACAATCAGCCACAAGACCAGATTGTTCTTAAGTCGGAAGAGATTCAGGAGCTTGGTGATAACCGGCTACCTCCCAATGCAATTGCATCAGACCCTATAGCCAACAGGACAACACATGTGCTAGAAAAAGACGACTTTCGAATTGAAGTTGCCAATAAATCAGGAGTAAATCGGACAGAAGTCTCGAACGACACGCCTATCGAAATAAATCCCCCGCCGGCGAAGCCCTCAAAAAAGGCGAGAGAATCCAAGAAGAAAAAATTGAAGCGTGGAAAGACGACCTCAGTGATATTGAAGAAAACCTACGAATCAGATGTCGAAGACGACGTGATCTGGATTGATGAAAGACCCTCAAACCATTTCCTACAAGATGAACAGACCGCTCAGAAACCCAGCAATTACCCAACGTCTGTCGATTTAAACAATACAGAACCGTTTCAAATCCAGATACCAAGATCTTTCTCACCCTCTATGTCTGAAGTAACCGAACCCAAAACTTCGCTCGAGACATGGAAAGACCAACCAAAACCTGCCCTTCTTCGCGGACGGAAGAGGAAGAAGACTTCTGAGCTACAAACCAGCGAAGAGTCTCCCTCCGAGAATGCCAATGAACTTACAGGCAGCCGAGAAGACAATCAAGCACCACCACCGCAGCGATCAGACATTGGCGTGTCCGTCATGCTTGAGCGGCCCTCGAACCAAGACATCAATGAGCAGAAGACTGAAACCTTGAATGATGCTTCTCCTTCAGGAAAAGAAGCAACACCACATCTAGAGTCACTCTTGCCCTCCAAGCCCTCACCAGCCACAGAGGCAGACACACCCGAAACCCCAAAGAAACCCGAATCAGCCTCTTACCAGCCAGACACGAGTACATGTCCCAAGACAAAAGACACCGGAAAAGGCCCCGACAAGCACAGCCCGATTGCAGGAACCAGCAAAGTGCCCTATCGAGTCGGATTAAGCCGCAAGGCGAGAATCGCGCCTCTGCTGAAGATCGTCCGACGATAACATTGACCATTTTTATGTCTGGATGACTTTTTTTTTCGGTCATCATTCCTTCTACTGTATATCTAATACCAACCTTCATCTTCTAATGCTCGTCACGACCTCTGAACGACTTCCAGCCTGTATACCCTACATTGTATTTTTACGATATCGTGATTTGAGCCTGGAGTGAATGATTTGCATTTAAAGGGCATACTCCGATTTTTCTTTCCCTTTTCTTTTCTGAAGGACTGCCATTTCTCGCGTTGCAGATCGTCTCTGCTATGATCAGCCTTTAATTTTCCGATGGTAGACTTAGATCCGGAGAATATACTTATAAGATGTACGCTCATCCACCCGCCATCTTTTGGAATGTCAGCTTCTGAGGTTTACCGTACCCTTTATTGACATGACCTGGTAGACAATCTCAGAGCAAGATATGATTGGATTGCCTTCGAAATTGTTTATGAAACCGCTGCATGCTCCTGGCGAGGACGTCAATTCATTGTTTCGGCCTTATCGTCTCTCACGAGAATTAAATTATATACTTGCGGCGATAAGGAAACAACTTATATACAGGAGCCTACGCTAGTTCATCTGTACAGCCGCGAGATATAACACTGCACACCCACTAAAGGAAATCCATCTACCCCGTAACGGGCATCTTTCAAAGGCGATGGGGTGTCTTGCTCTTGTATACGTTCATCTATATCTACTTCGGTATCAAACCTTGCTACGGCAGAAGGAGGTATTGGGATGTCATGAAATCTTCTAAATTGGTTGCCTATCAGGCTGCTCAGGTGCGAAAGGAATAATAATTGATGAAAGCATTTCGTCCGTCGGACAGTCCGTGGCTCAGTGACAACTCTAGGGAGCGCCTAACGTAAGCTGCACGTGTCTCGAAGGTCATCCTCAACTATAAGAACGTATTGGGAAAGACAGTAAGTTGATCGCAAGCATCAGAAAAAGGACCTTTTCATCTAGGCGATTGCTGTTGCGCAGATAACCAACATCAGGCAGGCTGCAGCCGACAAGGCATGGACCGCTGGATTTGCCTCCGATTTCACAGGCTTCCTCACTGATCCATCTCCAGGAAGACCGTCACCATTGGAAGGATCGTTAGGACCCGAACCCGGCCCGGCCGTTGGTTTTCTTATAGGGCCATTAGTGTCATTGTGCGATGGCTCGTCCAAGGAGAAGCAATTTCCAGCTTCTGGCTGGCAACCAAATCCGCAGTGAAGATTAGAGGTACCACAGTAGTCGGAACTACTACAGCAAGGGCCAAAGCTTGATCCAGCGCAGGTATATTCCCTTCCACATTTGCCATCAGGGGAGATGGGCTTGGAGGCATTCGGACGAACGTCATGGGTCTCTGGTGATGAAGACTTTCTGACAGCAGTATTGATAAGAGGCTCGCCGGCTTCGCGATACCAGAATTCTTGGGGATCCTGCAAACATTCACCAACTGTCACCGCTTTGTAGCCATATTCTGCCATTCTCCTTAGCATGTGCTCTGTGAGGTTGCGGACTGTTTGCTCGTGCACGTCGTGAGCAATAACGAGCCAGGATTTCTCTGATGCTTTCCATGGCACCAAGGCGGCATCAAACGTATCCTTGGAGACTTGAATGGCGATAGGACTATCATGACTATAGTCCTTCGTGTCGACGTCATAAAGAATTATATGGTATCCCATCGTGCCCATGTCGTCCAAGCAGCCCGTTTCGGCGAGGCAGCTCGAGTATGGAGGACGCATATAGGTCGGAATTCTGCCCAAAACGTTGCGGAACGCAGCTTCATTCTTCAGCATTTGCTGTCGTCGTTGGTCTGGCGTAACTTTGCTGAGATCTTGGTGCGACCAGGTGTGACTCGCAATCTGGTGTCCAGTGTGTTGCATGCGTTGAATCAAAGAGGCCCATGGGAGATCGGGATGATCTATCGGGCCCTTGGCATTATTGATTCCAGAGATAAAGAATGTCGCCTTCGCGTCATACCTGTCCAACAAGTCGAGAAGCTCAGCAGTGTATTTGTTCGGACCGTCATCAAAAGTCAGGGCAATAGTGCCTGCTTTGGCACACGAGCGGATGACGTGGGGGCCATATGGTACGGCACCGACATGTGGTCGAGGTATATCTTCGACGGGAGGGCCCTCTGGGCTTTCATGAGCGTCGCAATGACCGAAGTCAAGCTGGCAGTCTGGAGAGCGACAGTGAGCCTGGGTAGTGCCACAATAGCCTGGGAAAAAAGGGTTAGTTTGAGCATGTGGTTGGACGAGGAGTAAAGAGAAGATACCAGCAGTCGAACAGCATTTGCCATCCGAGCAAGTTCCCACACCGGGACCACACCGCACGCCGTCACCGCTTCTTATCAACAGGTGCGGAGTGACATTGCCGTCGGGCAAATGCACCGACTGGGAGGTGTGGTGACCAGGTTGTAATTTGACGATATTGCGAGCAAATGTGTGTGCCTCGAGCCCTAGGATGGGCAAGAGCAGCCAGTGACGTATACGCATCTTGGAGACGTGTTCGAAGAAGGATGCTGGACCTAATATGCAGAATAAGATGGAGGCGCAGTTATGTGTGGTTGAGAGGATGGGAAGAGGTAAACAACAGAATTCTGAGTCGAGGAGTCGAAGACACAGGAGGCATGTTGCTTCCGTTTTAGAGAGAGCAGCAACACAGAGAGCAGAATGGCAGGAAGAAAGATGAGCGAAGGGTAGCGATTCGGAAAGAGCATAACGAGGCAAGAACGGACTGGATCATTACATGTTCATGTGGATGGATTCCCAATACCGTGGAAGTTGTAATAACTGTTGAACGAGTTAGGAAGCTGTCGCACAGCTGCGAATATAGTGTGACAGGATTTTGCCATGAATGCCATCTCGAGGATCTTGCAGATGCCTTGAAATCTTTCTTATCAAAGAGCAGATTCTAACGTCGCGCTCTTTGAAAGCATTCAGCGACGCTACTCCATAGGCGCAAAGCAGTATCTACCTAGAATATCACTGAGAGATGGAACGATGAGAAAAGCTCATGGGTAACATACGATATACAGCAGTGAGAAAGGCTAAGATTACCATGGGCAGGGTATCGGATTTGAGATTCTGAGGCTGCTACTGCACTCGTCGGACCATTTCGTAGACGAGTCATTCAATGGGTATATTCAAGCTACCTGACCAAGACTATCCTCTCCCACAGCCGAGAACACGAAAGGGGCTAATGTCTGCAGATGGGGCCCGAACTTGGCTGGAGCACTTTTGGCTATGCTGCCCACCGTAGCAATCAGATGTCGCCGGTGAACGGTCGTCAACTGTGAGGAATTGAATCTCTCGACAAGATCAGCCACAAAGGCGTTCAGTTGGTTGTCCGAAAAGTGGAGCACAAGCACTGAGATAGCGGCCAATGCTCTTTTGGTGACAACGGTACCAGCCGTGTCGTTGTCAATGATGGACATCACAGATTTTTGCAGTGCGGTCAACTCCTCCTCCATAAGAAGAGGTCCAAAGCATGTGACCACTTGGATCACAACATCAACTGCGTCGCTACTGAAGCCTTTAGTAGGATCCTTTTCCAACATTCCCTTTACGAAACTACCCCTTCGGTTTGAGGGCGACGGCGTGGGACCGATTAAACGGGGGATGAGGACTCTGGAGACAGCAGAGTATGCCATGGTGGCTTCTTTGCTGGGTGCTTGCCCTGGTTGAGGACGAGGAAGTGCTGTGACAATGACTCGCAGGGCGGTGTTGGGAACTGAGGTATCGATGGATTGTGAGGCGGTTAAGGTCGATAGCTTCTCGAGAAGTGGCATGAGGCTTTCAAAGGGCAGCCGAAGCGAAAGCGGACCGAGACTGGAGTAAGATATGAGTGAGTGATGTATGCAAAAGAAGTGGTTCTCCTAATACGAACCATTTCAGCGCTTGGTTCTGGACATCGCCATGTTGGTCATCTAGAGCTTTGAGCAATCCGTCGACGAGTCTCGACGCCGAGTGTTGATCGTGAGAAAGAAATGAAGAGTTGGGATTATTCAGGATGCCTAGTAAATCATTCAAGGACATATATCTCAGATCTGCATCCGGATCGTCGAGCTTCAACAACAGACCGTTGAGATTCTGCTGAATGGCCTGTCTGTCCGCCATGGGGGAAGTTGAAGTATGAAAAAGAGTACTGTGACAGAGAAGGATAAAATGAAAACTAAGATAGGGAGACTCGCAGCTCACAGTTTTGAGAGCTGTGGATAAGGCTCACTGGAAGCAGGGGAGATGGAACTAAACGCGGGGCGCATAATAGCAGTCTGCCTAAGGCGACAATGGCTGGATCCAGACTTTGAGCTCCAACTGGCGACTACACAGACCAGTTGTGCAGGTTTCCAGCAAGACGATCGAGAATGGAATATAGGAGGACAGGGGTCTCTTTCGTACAATTGATGACAATAAACTGTGGACGTCTAATATGATATTTACTTTCAATTGCATTTTAATTGCAGTTACATGAAATATCATGACTATGCCAAACTCGGCCATGGCAGTTATTTACTCTGATTACTCTGTCTCCGCACGCCAAAATTACATCACCACCAATAACGCTTGGGCCATGCCGGTTGCTCCCGCTCCGAGCTTCTTGGTCGTGCTACCATTCCTTGCTTGGAGGCTGGGGGCAGTCGGCCCATGATGCATACGTAAGAAGAAGGGCATGTCATGTCACCTCTTCCAGCCTCTTTCCTCCTTAACTTGTCCTCTCATCCCAATTGCACCACAAATCTTCAATCAGCATCTCTAACCTCCAATTCTTGACCTCATTTTCGATTTATATACATACAACCACCATGGTTCTCGTACGACCTCAGATGATCCGTGCATCCCTTCGTGCCGTTGGAGCCACTGCTCGACGACCCATACAGCAGGCCGGACGTCGGACGTACGCTTCTGCACAAGAAAGCACCAAGAAATCCAGCGACCTCCCATGGTAAGCTACCTTCCATCGCTTACGCCCATGAGCTATCGCATTCCATATGCCAGGCGACTAACGACTCCATTTCCAGGATGCTGGCATCGGTTGGCCTCGGCGTCCCCGCTGCATTTTACTTGCTTCAGCCCGCTCCCTCCAAGGCCACCTCACACAACCACCACGGCGAAGCAAGAATGACTGAGAGGACGGAAGCCGAGATTCCCCCGGAGCGTGAGACTGTTGGCCCGGATGTCAAGCCTTCTGAGGTCGATGCGGTAAGTAATTCGCTATTCGACTTGCACCCATTCCCCACGTCAAACGTATGCTGAAGATTTCCGCAGCCTGCCGGGCGGAAGGAACCCTCAGGAGCCAACACCATTTCTAGCAAGCAGGAGGGCCTCGACAGTTCGGACACTTCCAACCCTTACGTTGCAGATCCGGGAAAGAGTGTAAAGGGTGAGGGCGAGACCGATTCTGTCAAGTTGAAGGGAACTGTTGACCCTGCTCGGCCACAACAGTGAGCGCTCTGTTTGATCGAAGAAAACTCAGTATGCGAAAATGTTCGCGTCGGCCTTGTCCGATATTGATATCTCTGTATGTTCAAGAGACTCAACGTGTAATATATTACATAGCACAATCCGTTCACAAGACGAAGATCTCCACCGCCCTAAGTGTCTCAAATAGCCGAGGCTCTTGAGCAGTTTCAGAACGGCTACTATAGAGAGAAAGTGAACTCAGCCATTGCAAAATCACCAGCGCAGATCTATTATTATTATTATCATTAGCTTTGCAGAATGTGGTCTGCACGGTCATCCCCTAAAAGAGTACAATGAACTGCTCACTCAAGAAAATCGTCACTATATACATTCAGCTTCGCCATGCACAACGTCAATCACAAGAAAGGGGGTTGCAAAGTATGTTTGCAGAAAGAGAAATTTGTAATTTGTCATCCACCGTGGAACCGTCGCAATATAACAGAGAATAAAAGAACTTGTCAAGCATCGCCAGACAAATCAAAATCATGATATAGACAAAGCTCAGCGAGCTATCGATGCCTAAAGTGACAGCAAGGAAATTCTCGGCTGGCTCATCAACATCAAGCACTAAGAGTCGGCTTTTGCGCCAAGAGGCTCGCCGTTAACGAAGACCTGAGGCGCCTTGTTTGTATTACGAGCGGTGAGAAGAGGTTGCTCCGCTCCAGTGGCAAGAGTAGCATGACTCTCTGACGCCTGCTCGAGTTCCTCTTCGGTCTCATCGTCGCTTCTCTCGTCCTTCTTCACCTTGTTGAAGATGTAGTTCTTGAGAATGCGAAGGATCAAGAAGAGCCAGAAGAGGTTGACGGCCTGCAGACTGGCCAGCAGGGCGAAGGTGATAATCTGACTGATCCAGCATTTGTATTGTTGGGTCTCCCAGTTGAGCTCGTAGGGTCCAACGGTGCGGAATTCGGTCAGCACGGCCCAGAGGATCTTCAGGTTGAGGACATGGCGGAGGTAGATCCACATAACAACAAAGGTGCCAAAGTATGGTATGGTGATGATGGAGTCGAGGTAGTTGAGGGTTTTTGAGGTCTATAAGAAGAATCAGTTAGCTCTCGTTCGATTAAGGCGGATACTTGCAGGCATACCGCGAGGAAGAAATCTGAGATGTCGTGGGTGATATAGACCGCAATGCCCATATAGGTGAAGTGGAAGCGGTAACTCAATCCGATCAGCGCCAGAGTGATAATGTGGTGGCCAACGAGCTCCTTGAAATCCTTTCGGGGCTTTTCGAGCTGCAACAGCAACACAATCGCCTGCTGAGCCCAGTAACTAGCCTGGAGCAGGTAATAGGCCTTGAAGATGGCTACGTGCTCCCGGTGAGGGAAACCCTCAAACATGGCCGTGGTGTTGAAGTACCAGATATCCGTCTGCTTCATCACGTACAGACCGAAAGGTCCAAAGATCGCAAAATACATGGCTGTGTAGACCTGCTCCATGAACCTAGCAGTCTTTCCTCTGCCGCGAATGCCACAGTAGGCAGCCCATGGACGAATCACGCATTGCATCAGAAACTCTCGTGTGAAAGACAGGACAATAGTGTAGAAGCCGACAAAAGCAAAGTCCAAGGGACCTTTTCCGTACATAACCGGGCCGCCAGGGGACTTGGGAGGCTCCGGGTAAGACAAGAAGATAGCGCTGTGGAAAGGATTGGCCGGCGTGGGATTAACGGCGTATGCGAGGAGGATCACGCTCATCAGCAGGAGAGGTAGAACCCAGGTGTGTTTCACACATATGTCCTTGAACCGACGGAGGGGCGATCGGTTCTTGCGACGCTTGGTTTGCGATTTGAGAGACTTCTCAGATGTTGCCTGGTTCTGCAAGGCCTGACAGCAGTGAGCACGGGACCGAGACGACGGATGATATTGAGGTCACCGATAAGGATATACCTTGTCCCATTTTGGAGATTCTCCCTCAATAGGGCTGGCCTCGTTCAAAGTTGACATGGCTGGCGCGTTGGTATCGCCTGGGATCTCTCCCAGATGGCTGGACTTGCGCGGACGACCCATGATGGGCTTGCTGATATCGGACTGTATCGAAAATGTATCGATTGCTCTTGTGTCTTTTACACTGGTGAACAAATAACCAATTGTCGTATTTGCTGCGCTGATCTGGCTGGCTTCCGAGGGACAAAAAGCGGAGCCGAATAGGTGACGTTGAAGTCACCAATTGGAACAATGAAGGCTAAAATAAGGAGAGACAGGAAGAAAAATTGCTGCGACGTTGAAACTGAGATTATGTTGATGTCAAAGGGGGTTTTTTACCAATTTTCAATTTTCTCCACCGACTCCACCCGCACCAGCCACTCTACCCCGTCTAATCTCAACCACCACCCAATCGCAAGCCCTTCTTGTACGGTTGTACCCTTTTCTCTTCCGATCTACTTCCATCCAATTGCTCTCGCCCTTTTCTATTGGACTCGAGAAGCTCGATTGCTGCTTTCGACCCGGCAAGTCAACGATCGATCAGATACGGAGTACTCCGCGCGTTTCAACAACATTATTATTATAGACAAGCCCAACATCATACAAGCAGATAAGCTACCACCTGAGCTACACATATTTGACAATAATAATGAACAGGATGAAACTGAACTCAGACCAAAATTGTGGCGTCGCCTATGACTTCCTTATAAAGTGCAATTCTCTGGCTCAGCGTGACAACAATGCTCTGTAGACGAGATGTTGCGGGATGCTGATGGAGAAAGGGCACCCCATTACTCGGAGCGCTGGGCAAGTCGTGGAAGGAGGGTGTATGTCAGGGTAATAGGGCTACCCCAAATTGAACTCTCTGCCCAAATGTCAAAATCTCAATATAGTGAGTGTTCGACAGTAATTCATCCGTGAGTGGCTGCGAGATGTAATCCGTAGTTGCATGCATGCTAGATTAGTAAAAGAGATTGATTACATGTAAGAGGAATGCACTGTAAGGTCCGCAAAAAGCACTTTGCGCTAATCAAAGCAGGACTTTCCTTATACATCTTGATCCTGAGAGACCTGTATTATCATATTATAGAACGCTGGTCCAAAATGGGAGGTTGGCAGTCAGGGAATGGGAGGATCCACATCAAGTCACGTGCGTGGTCGCGTCGCGCGCTGCATTGTTATTTGGTCCGCTGACAGCCCTCTCAATGTTCTTCCTCCACTCGTTGCAGCTGCTACCTCGGTCGGTCTCAAACGACTTCGCGGACAATTCAGTCGTTCTTTGATTTTCTAGCGTCTCAGCCAATACTGAATTTGATCCTCACGAGTTCTCGTTCGGGCCTGACTCGCTCGAAGATGTGTCGGCGTGTGTCTCATAAGGATCTCTGGTTTGCTAAGCCGTGCCTCAATTGCCTGCGAGGGCATGTTTTGTACAGATCTTACTCTCCGTATAGTTCTCCAATTTCCATCACTGCATCTCGATGCATCTTTAGGAGACCTATAATCATACGTTGCTCACCCCAGCCTATGATTATACCTTTTAAAGAAGGTGATGGATTATTGGGAATCTAACCCTAACCTAGTCGGTTCAGTGTTAGCAGCAACACAAGTTTCACGGCCTCGCATGGCGGAGTTATTGATTAGTTTATTGATTCCTGAAGGAATCGAGAGACGAAAGGTATCCGATGTCCAGAGCCTGTCATGGGCAACAAAAGACGGTTTACTATGCGTTTTAAGTTCCGGAACGGGACACGCGTCGGTTTACCAATGCTGGGCGTTACATGCTGACCACGATGGATGGTTTGTCGATGCATTAGCGCTGGAGAGTCTAGGGAGAGAGTAGGTGGAGCATGTCGGGCCTCTTGTTACAGAGTACGGCCTTTGGGAGCTTTCATGAACGGCAATACATGGGATGTCTGGAGCCACCCTCAAATTGCGGCGGAATTCGTTACTATTGCTCGGTGATCATCTTGAACGCAACAATTAGTCTTCGGACGCGCCTACAAACACTCTTTAAATCAGTACGTCGGAAGCAACCCACTCGTCGGAATCATTGTGATGTCTTGATGGCGCCCAGGTGCTTCTTGAGAAATCGCATTGTAGCGAGGTTCTTCCGCACTACTGGATGGACTGAGTTGATCAGGATTGCTCCTTGAGTGATACTGTCAGAAACTTGGCTTGTTGTCTAGTTCCGGCGCATGATTCGCCATCAATGAGTAATGATCTCGCATCTGCAATGGTCGCCTACCTATTCCATCCGCTATTCGTTCTAGTATCCGGTGCATGCTCCCAATTCGGGGAGCCTGGGCAACCCGTACCTACTTTCGAACCCTTGTCTCTTGCCATATTCTTGGCTTGCAAACCTCGAGTCCCGGCACCAGCCACCGACTCGAACTTGACTCAAAGATCCAGGTCGACCGTGTCAACCATCTCTTTGCAATGTATATTGCAAATAGATTGATGGGCGCCGACAATGACGATGGGGTCTCCCTCGTCGTCCCTCCCTTCGGGGAGAAGGAAGCGGTTTTTGCGGATGTTCTTTGTTCGCTTCTACAATGCCCTCCAATGTCTGCTCGACGCGGAGAGGAAACAAAAACTTGTCTCAGAGAGTACTGTGCCCCGCACGAGGCTTAAGTCTCAGCGACCAAGGTTGTCCTTATGCCCACATGGACGGCATGTTTGAGAGCAAATTGGGAGATGGAAGGCTTCGATTAGAATCAGGCTGAGTAACGCAGGAAAACATGGGGTCGGATGAACTGCGCGAAGGGCGTGAGGCTGTGTCCGATGTACACGCTGTGTTCATTGAGCTTCGACTTTGTACTGCTGTTCAACGCTCTATGCTCTAGCATCTTGCAATCTTGATGGCTTGCCATTGCCGTTCTATGTCTTGGAAGCCGGCAATCGCCCCGATTGAAGCCACCAAGTCGCTCTCCTCTCGTTTGCGTGTTCTTGCTTCGTCCATCATGCGACCTGGCTGCCCGTTCAACATATCTCTTGCATACAATGCAGCCGTTGGCAGGAGGCGTTTGTGGGACCTCACAAGGGTGGGGATCAAAGCTCAGGCTTGTCTACTTGTCCTCTATAATGTTCACGTTTGCTTCTGCGGAGACTTTGACGACTGGGTAGTTGGTCCTGGCCGTGTAGGAGAGCAACGAAGAGAGCGTATTTGCGCTTCGATCGGCTAAGGGGCGTTTGTGTGTGGGCACCAGGACCGGGCTACTGTGCGAGAAGCTTGTTGCGAGTTCTGGACCAGAAGGTGCCGAATATCTGCAGGTCGATTTCCGCTCGTGAACCGCCGCCTTTCTTCGGGGAGGCGGCCCCTATTTTTTCTATAAGTCACCCACACCCCTCAGAGATTGGCTCCGCTAACTACCGCTGCAGGGATCAGTTTGACGGGCTTGGGCCGATCGGATCTATAGTAACTATAAGATGTGATTCGGACGGCTATCTCTGGTCTTAATATTCTAGCCCCTTGGATTATGTGGCTGTCAGTAGACTAGGCCCGAGTGAAGGCGAATGTCAACAAATTCGCCGCATGCTGTCATCACAAACCGTTATCACTCCAAAGTTGTCAATTATTCTTCGCTCTTTGCTGCTTATTGCATATATCTGCATTGCTGAGTAATACACCTGGGTGTCTGTGCATAATTAGAGCTGCCCCTCCTGAATAAGTTGCCCCGCCACCGCGATAGTGGAAGGCAAAGGAACGTTCCCGTGGTTGCCGGCTAATTTTTTTTCTTTGGGCCCAATGGGTTTGTAATAATATATTGTAGTCCCTCTATTTACAAGTTCTTGATTTTTCTCCTTTCCCTTACGAAAATCAATTGATCTCTGCAAACCAGGACTCATGTCGGCAGAAGGAGAAAGCGCTGCCCCTCAGGGCAATGTTGTGGTAGACTCGCAATTTCAGAAACCCGGCGACTTGGTGGAGAGAAATGAAGATACCGGCGTTATGTCATTGGAGAGTCTCTGCATGAACTGCCATGAAAATGTAACTGATACCGATGGATATTTGGTTTTTTCTACGCCGAGGCGACAACTACTAACAAAACTTTAGGGTATCACCAGACTTCTACTCCTCCGAGTACCTTTCTTCCGCGACATTATCCTCGAATCTTTCGAATGCGAGCACTGCGGCCACCGAGACAACTCCGTCAAATCCGCGGGTCAGATTCAAGAGAAGGGAACGAAATACACACTGGATGTTGAGAATGAGGAGGATTTCCAGCGCCAGGTCATTCGAAGCGATGTCTCGATTTTCAAGGTCGAATCGCTCGGTATCGAGATGCCCAAGGGCGAAAGCCAGCTGACCACAGTGGAGGGAGTTATTCAGCGTATTTACGAGAACCTGTCCAGCGAGCAGCCACAGCGCAAGGCGGAAGCGCCCGAGCTGCACGATGCGCTCGTGCCTATCCTCGAGAAGCTCGAGAAAATTCTGAAGCGGGAGGGCTTTCCTTTCACCATCTCGCTCGATGATCCCACCGGTAACTCATGGATCGCGCCGAATACACAGGACAAGACAAACAAGTACAGACGTCGCGACTATCCCCGTACGCACGAACAGAACGAAGCGCTCGGTATCGCTGCCGACCCCGAGGCCCAGAAGAATGAAGGCATTAACGTGGAGGGCGAGATTGACGACTCGGAAATTGTCGAAGGCCAGGTTTACAGTCTGCCCGCGGAGTGCCCCGGCTGCACGAAGCCATGCTTTGTCAACATGAAGAAAGTCAACATTCCCTACTTCAAGGAGGTTTTCATCTGGGGTACAGTTTGCGACCACTGTGGCTACCGCACTAGCGAGGTTAAGACTGGTGGTGAGGTTCCCGAGAAGGGCAAGCGCATCACCCTTCGTGTCGAGAACGAAGTTGATCTGTCGCGTGATATCTTGAAGTCCGACACCTGCGCGCTTCACAGCGATGAGCTTGAGGTGACTGTTCAGCCCGGTACCCTTGGCGGCCGCTTCACCACCGTTGAGGGTCTGCTCACGGAGATTCGCGATCAGTTGCACGGCCAGATCTTCGATATCGACGACACCACCAACTCTGGTGGTGACAGTATGGCAACGTCTGACAAGGATAAGTGGGAGC